ATCAAGCGTGCAACCTCTTCCTTTACTGCCTCCTGATGTTGAGGTGTCGATCTCCTGAGCTTTTGCTTGACAGGCTTAAAACTCGGGTCAACGTTCAAGTGATGACATGCCACTTTGGACGGTACGCTGGGCATATCACTGGTGCTCTAAGCAAAAATATCGGCATATTCTCGCAGTAATTTGACGAGTCCCATCTTCTGTTCGAGACTAAGAGCTGCCCCCAACAAAAAGTGTTTTTCTGGGTCTCCATCCTTGTCTAAAGGTACTTTAGTCAAGTCTTCTACTGTTCGGTCTGTCACTTCTTTTTCTGCGCCTAAAGGTACTTTAGGGATTTTTATGACAGCTTGTTCGGCTAAATCAAACGAGCTGTCAGGTGTTGATTGCTATTTCACCTCTTCGGCTATTGAATTCTTTTCTTGAACTTCAATTCCATCTTTGGTTTTGACTAAAGCCAGTAAACAGGTTCTGGAACTAACTTGGTCTCCTCGAATGTTTATTATACCCTTTAATGATGGGAACCTCAGCATCTGGTGGTATGTTGATGGTACTGCCTTCATTTTGTGTAACCAGGACCGGCCCATTATCGCGTTATAGGCCGAGACGATATCTACTACCAGGAACTTGGCCATGATGCAGACTGGTCCAGTCTTTACAGGCAACGTGATCTTTCCACTAGGAATAACTTTTTTTCCACTAAAACCAAGAAAGGGAGGATTTAGGGCTTTAAATTCTCCTGCTTGAGGCCGAGCTTCTGGAAGAGATCTATGTACATTATTTCTGAGGAACTCCCTGGATCGATTAGAACTTGCCTCACATTGTAATTGGCAATCCTGAGGGTGACTACTAACACGTCGTTGTGTGGCTGGTGAACTCCAACCAGATCCTACTCGGTGAAGCAGATTGCCTCGGTTTATTCCTCAATCTTAATTTTTTGTTCCTCACCTCGGGTGTTAATCGCAATTGGTATACTTCCCTTTCTTTGGCAGCTTTCTGTATGTACGCCCTAGCAGCGTTGTTCGTCATCATTTACGAATTCGTTGCAGCATGTATCACATCTATTACCCCAGTTGGGGTGTTCTGATCACCTTTCGGTTCGGCTCTCCCACCATCGATTCTTGCCCCACCTTCGATAAACTTAGTGAGATGCCCAGCTTGGACCAGCTCCTTTAAGTGTTGCTTCAGATATCGACAATTCTCGGTCATATGTCCCACATCCTGATGATATGAACACCTGTAGTTTGGGTTCCTTTTTGAAGGATCCCCTGTTAATTTATTGGGCCATTTAAAAAATGGCTCTGCTTTGATCTGATTCAAATTTTTATAATTGGTTCCTTGAACAACATGTTTATCCTAAGAAAAAAGGGAACTTTGGGGGATAACCTTCATTCTCATTCTTTATCCCGCCTTCTCTTTCTCCCCGTCTTCTCTACTTGGCTCAGTTTGCTTGTCATGATCGAACTGCCTCCTACCTTGATGCTATATGCTCGTCGTTGACTTTGACATACTTCTCAATTCTCGCCATCAATTCCTCAAGATCGATGGCAGGCCTCCTGGTGAGTGATTGATACAGAGGGTTCTCTTTTGGCAACCCGATTTTTAAAGACGCAAATGCAATTTCGGGATTGCATCCCTCAACCTCATTCATTGTCTCCCAATAACGATGTGCATACTCTCGCTAAGTTTCATTATTTTTCTTCTTCAAAGTCAGCAAAGCCCTGACGTCCTTAGGCTGCTTACTACTTGTGATGAACTGAATCGTAAACTGCTCGACCAATTATAACCATCCATCAATCGAGTCCTTCGGCAAATCGTCGAACCACTTCATGGCCGACTCCCCGAGACTGCTAGGAAAAATGGTGCAAAACTAGGGCTCGTTTCTTCGGTGAATGATCATAAATTGTCTATAATGCCTGATATGGGAAATCGGATTGGTCTTTCCATCGTAAAGCTTGAAATTTGGGATGACGAACTTGTTCGGGATATGCCCACTTTCGATCCATCTGGTGAAAGGTGACAACTTCGAGCCATCTCCGTATTCTCCTGTCGTTCTTCTGGCTAAGTCCCTAGCCGACCTTTGTTCTGGTCGTCTAAGTCGGTTATTGTGTTTCTCGGTGATATACTGCTTCCAGGCATCCTCCTCTTGGACCCTAGGTTTCTTTTGTTGATACTTGTTGTCCTTGGCACTCTTGATTCTACCTAGATTCTTTTTGGGACTTTCTCGCTGGTTGTCCCTCTCACGCTTCTCCTCTCTAGTCAACTCTTTCAGCCGGGCTTTTAACCCTTCATTCTCCTTTATCAAATCCTTTTCCCTAGCATAGGACATCTTAAATAATTTGTCGTGCGCATCAAGCCTGTCCTGCAGGGATTGGACCAACTTTGCCAAAGAGTGGTTTTCCCCCTCGGCACAGAGGGATTCCCCATGGCCTACGATCTACTAATTTTGGTCTGTGGATGGTTTGAAACTGGCTGAAGACACCTCATTGTCTTCGTGAGGCCTTGATGGGCTTCTGTTGGCATGCAACCTGACGTTGTTGTCAGATGGAAGGGATAAGAGATCAGAGTTTCCCAAGACAAAGCTACCTCTAGGTGATCCAATGACACTTTTCAGTCTTGACATCGTAGCTTTTCGTTGCAAATGATCAAAATTTTTCCCACAGACGGCGCCAAAATGTAAGAAGTAAAAATTGACGATGCCTCTCACTAAAGATTTGAATTTGATATTTCTGGTAATGAATATTTCTGAACTTGATCTCCTAGTCTTTACTTCCTGCAAAACGAATAAACTGCCAAAGATCGAGATACTTCGATCGAAGGCACTCCGATGCTCAAGTCAGTAATGGAACTGAGATAATTGCAAGAAAATCAGGAGAGTTCAGCGTTCCTTTCACCTTGGCTTCTTCTGTTTTTTATAGATGGTCATCCCTTAGGGTTTTCGTGATTTTTGATTTAAGGTGGCACACCTTCCTTTAATTCAGTAATTCAATTTGAGAAGTTGCTAATATTTCTCCAATAAGTCCTCATGACATTTATAATTTCGTTGATTCGTTTATCCAATTGCCTAATTTATAGGCGAATCTTTATCTTTCCATCTATTGTTTTGAACAGCTCGAACATATCGAACGTCGAGCACATTTGACATTTGCTGAACAATTTTAGGGACTTGTTTTGGAACAAACCATTCTCTTCAATCGCCTTCCTGAACACTTTAATAAACTTGCTTAATACAAGCTGAGCTCTTTCTGTACAGATTGATGAACTCGGTCTTAAAGGGAACCAAACTTCTTCTTTGTTTACCGAACCTCTTGTTAGCTCGGCTTGGTTAAAAGACTTAATCAAGGATTCTCCATCTCGTGACTTGTCTTGTCAACCTCACGTGGGCTCATTTAATACCATAACACGTGTAATAATGAAGGTCATTCCCTTCACATTCTTTACCCATGCATAATGTGCACGCATGAAGTACAAAACTTTAATAACATAGACAATTTAAGTATGAATTATTTGGATCGAAAATTTATATTAAGACAAAAAAAAAACCAATTTTATAGATTTTCACCATAAGAAATAATGAATATAAATTTTTTATGTGAGTGAGTGAAATACAACTATGAACACACCCAAAATATTTAGAAAATTTTAAATCAAAGCTCACATGAAAGAGTAATTTTGGACCCAAAAAAATTAGTTATTGATTTGAACTATTAAAATTGGTGCCCTAAAAATTTGAATCATATCTAAAATACAAAAAAATAAAAATAAAAAAGATTATTATACTAAAGTGGTAAATTTTATGGAGGTCTCTAAAATTTAGGTTTAAACAAGTAGAGATTAATTTTGGACCTGATAAAATTAGATACTGATTTGAACTAATAAAATTTGGGCCCTAAAATTTTAATCATATTTAAAATATAAAAAAAAAATTAGGCCTACTATACTAAATGGATAAATATTGTAGAGGCCCTCTAAAATTTGAGGCCCTAAACAAACAACTTAGTTGCCTAGAGGTTGGCCCGGCCTGAGAGTTGTTTATCATTCTCATTTGCCATTTTTGGCATGGACGACAAATAAGTTTTAGATTGTCTCAATTTTGATTTTTGTCAAATTAAATCATCAACCACTAAGTGTAGTGGATCTAATTGGAATATATAAGGTATGATAAATTTAAGAAGTATGAACTCTTGATTGAAGTTGAAAATATGAGAAGTTAGATCTCTACATGGGTGGTATGCAAGGATATAACATAGATATGGTTCTTGTATGTATCAAATTTCAGCTCCAAGTTGTTTCTATCCATGACTTGAGCTCCAAATTCCTTAGTTTGAAAGTGTAACACTTCCTCCTAATTAATAACAACCTTATTCATTTTATTTACCATTGAACCTAAACAACACTCATTTTTGCAAAAACTCTGATAATGTAGGCGAATAAGAGGAAAAAAAGATTAAAATTCCGTATAATATTTTTTCTTTCAAACTCTCGGAATATACTATTAATTGAAGTAGAATCCACTATTTATAAATAAATTATTAATTCAGCCGTGACAAATGATCTATTACTTTGTAAGTTTAAAAAAAATATTGAAGTAAATTTAAATCAGAGAAGATATTGTGAAGCATATGAAGGAGGTCACTAGCTATAATAGCACATGAGGATGTCTCTTGAAAACTTGTTTGCATCCTGAGGGAGGCTTCTCACTTCCTAATCCCAAGAATACCACTGCAATATTCCCTTAATTACTTTCAAGTCCCCCTCCTCCATATTTTGGCGGGACAATTCTGTTACTGTTTGTTAGACTCAGTTCATTCACTTCATCGGCCTCCGCATGATCTTCAATCGCAAAATAACAAGAAAATGCAAGAATTCCAGAAACCAATCTTTCTTTCTCTCTCTCTCATGCGCGCACATACACACACACACTCGCTGAGCTCTTGAACTATTAATTGATAGAAAGACATCAAGAAATCAATCAACTGTTCTGTCTCTCTCTTTCTCTCTCTATCATGGCAAACAATTTCTCTCTCTACCACCTCCTCCTGATGGCACTCACCATCACCAACCTCCGCCTCATCTCAACCACAGAGTCTCCTCTACCGGCTTCTTCACCACAGCCAACTCCACTCTCACTCCCACCACCTACTAACCTCTCACCACCACCTGAGCCCCGATCTACGCCTACCATCCCAACACCACCACCAACAATACCCTCTCCACCCATCACTACATCACCTCCTCCCTCTCCTACAATCACCGAGCCACCACCGCTCTCTCCACCAGCCATTATGTTTCCATCACCACCGCCGCCGCCGCCGGCAGAGCTCCAAGCACAGCAACTCAACAACATAATCGATGCACTAATCGGAGCGGGCGACTTTGCGGGTTGGGCCAATATTCTCTCCTCCACCGATCCATCAACCCTCCCTCTCTCCTCCACCCTCTTCATCCCCGGCAACGAAGCCCTCTCTCACCTCCCCACCGACACCGCCACCGGCATGGAAAACTTCGAAGCATTCCTCATACCGTATCACATAGTCCCCCAACGCCTCTCTTTCTCTGACCTCCAACTCTTCAAGACCAGCACTCGCCTCCCCACTCTCTTACCCTCCAAAACCATCCTCATCACCAACAATTCTCTCTCCAACTTCACCATTGACGACTCTATCGTCAGTCACCCAGATATCTACCTAAACTCAGCCATGGCGGTCCACGGCATTGGCGCCATTCTTGATTACACTGTCTACGGCGGTGACTTCTTCGCACCACCTGACCCAATTCAGGTCCCTGCACCGCCACAACCGGTGGTTCCTCCATTTTTTCCCACCGGGGAAATTATAGGTGGCCGGAGGTCTGACGCAGCATGCTTGTGCACTGAGTTTCCGATTTTTTTCTCGATTGTTTGTGCTGTTTTTGCATTCAAAATTAATAGAAACCCGCTTGCTCGTTGATGGGTTTGTTCTGCGAAGATAGTCTAAGCAACATTAGATGAGGGGAAATATGAGTTTTCAGATGGGCATGTACATGGGGTTTTTAGCTGATCATCCCTGCTATTCTTCTTGAATAAAAGGTTATTTTGTTACTTGTTTTCTGCATTACTCTGTAATTTTTGAGCAGAAAATTGCTATGTTCTGTAAAATCCTGTTTCATTGATATATCTGAATGAGTTTCTTCTTGTATTCTTGTGGAGTTTCTTCAGTCAATGAAAACGGCGTAGTTTCTGTCATTTGTTTTTATGTAATGACA